GTTTAAATGCCATTTCTAAATCAAAACAATGACGTAATTGGCACGAGGACATTTCTTTCGAAGAGGAGACGACACCTTGATTTTAAAAGTCTTTCAAATAAAAATCTTATTCTTATAGGATTTTTAGATAATATTTGCTTTATTCCTTTTTTGATAACTTTAAAATTTTTTAAAAAAGTTTGTTTTTTTTTTGTTTTTTTGCAAGATTGTAGAAATAATTTTCTTAAATCAATCAAACGACCCTTATTTCAATTTTGTGAAATAACAAAAAATTAAATTAAAAGAGCAATAAAGAAATGAAATTTTTGTAAAATATTTTAAAATTAATTTTAAAAAGCAATGAAATCACCCATAAAAAGTACCGGGAGTTGTCTGGGCAATACACAAAGTTCAATTCAAACCCAGGCACTGGGGCGTTGGAATTTTGCATATTTTAAGTAAGACCTGGGTAGTTTTTTGTGTTCTATTCACTATTCAGGAGAGAAGGATTAAAAAGATTACCATAAGACAGAGAGAGATTAAAATGAAGTCATGAAAAATGGATTATAAGGAAAATAAGATAGAGATAAAAATATTTGCATAAAAGGGAGAGAGAAGTTTTATGGAGACTTAGACAATATGGTTATTTAAAAAGAATTAGTACTGGATTAACTTTTCTTTTTTTTTTTTTAGCATATAGAGAAAGAAGGATTAGGATAAGGAGACTAGGTAGGGATTAAAAAAGAATTGGGACATTAGATAGAGATTTATTAAAATAGGGAGATAGACAGGGAAGAATTTGCATAGAAAGACGAGACAGGGATTTAAAAATATTAGCATAGATACAGAGAAAAAAGTAATGAGAGAGACAAAATATTAGCACAGAGTAGGGAAAGATAATGCTGGTTTAGGAGGAGGAGACTAGAATCTCTACAGATATTTAGAGTCTATTTTAGACTAAGGTTGTGATATTTAATGTCATGATAAAACAGGAATACTAATTAACTAATAAGAATCATTAAAGATAGATTTATTTTAAATTAAAAGAGTAAAGAAATTAAAATTCTGAGATGTATCCTTTATACTTTGTTTCTACAAAGAACGCTCTCTCTCTCTCTCTCTCTCTCTCTCTCTCTCTCTCTATTTTTTTAGGAACCCCAATATTCATAAATAAACCCTACGCACGGTGCAATAATGGATAGCGGCTCGAATGGCGGAATCGGCGAACCAAGTTCGAATTCCAGTAGAATCAATTATTATTACAATTACATTCACTTACGTCCTAATACCCTTGGGAAAGGTATGAATCCTCCTCTTCTACCTCCTATAAGGGTAGGAGACTGAATCAAGAGTAACGAAGAGATAAAAATAAATGTAGATGGACTTTGAACAGTAACAAAAATAGAGCAGTATGAGAGATGGAATGCTAAAAAACAAACTCTGGGAGAGGATATTTTACTTTTGAAATGCATGAATAACTTTATCAAAATATGTCATAAAATATAGCAATATCCTGTGTGTTATTGTAGGACTTTTCAACATTTTAATTTCTCTAAAATAAATGCTATTATAAATTTGCAGATTGAATTTTTAGGAAAATTCATTAACGAAAGATTCGTTAATTTTGACAAGGTGGGAAAATTTGGTAACTATGAAATAGAAGTCGATTAAAAATTGATTTTAGGACCGTTCTGGAGTGGGGATTTGGGGGCTAAGCACCTATTCCCTATATATTTTAACTGAAAATCGTAGGGTCCAGATAAAACACCACTAACACAACAATACCAATATTTTAAAAAAGTAGTGTTATTAACCATGAGAGTCTACATAAAAAAAAACCCACTACAACAATACCAGGGCCGTACTTTCTGGAGGGGAGTAGTCACCACTCCCACACCATTGCATGTTTAACGATATTCAGTCACCCCCCACCACCACGAGGGCGTCATGTGGCACAAGGCCTTTTTAACGTGGGATCTCCGATTTAACTAATTACTAAAAAATCATGGATTCCAGTCCAAATAAAATCCCACTGCAACAATGCCAGGGCCATACTTTCTGGATTGGGAGTTTAAGGGTGCTAAGCCCCCCCCTCCAATATTTTTTAATGTTTTTAAATAAGTATTTATTTACTATATATTCTCTATTGTTTTCAAGCAAATAAAATCGATTCATATTATTCTAAGTTAAAGTTAAGTTCGTGTATCTTCTCTTCAAATGGTTATTTTAAGTAGTAAATAATTAATAAATTAAGTTTTTAGTTATTTTTCTTTTTAAAGAAGCAAAAAAGGTAAATTTTCATTTTAACACCCGAGCGTCATTCACTGCTGAACTATTTTCTTTCAGAAATTAGTACGCGCTTCCGTAAAGCGATTTTTTTTTTTTTTTTTGTACTTAATTTAAGAAGAAACATTAACTTTTCAAAATATGTAAAACAAATAAAAGAATAACAAAAGGAAAAAAACACCTAACCCTAATTTGAAAGTTCACTTTCTTCTTAAAAAAAAATTAAAAAAATAAAAGAATAACAAAAAAAAACACCTAACCCTAATTTGAAAATTAACTACAAGGAATTACTGTGAAGGAAGTAAATAGGCCCAAATTGTATATGTCCACCAACAAAATTCAGCACTGAATTACTTATCAATAAGCCAGTAATGGCTGACGAAAGACCAGGAAAAAGTCCAAATTTTTTTCGGGTCGTTAACATCCAAAAAGATAGGTTTCTTCAATATCTAATTGCTGATTTGAGTTCAGCGTATACATTTGCACGGAAATAAGACTATTTTGGAAAAATCTGAAGGGATTTTAGTGCTTGGGTGTTAAAATGAAAATTTACCGCAGGTAAATTTTTATTTTGTTTCCCAAGCAAAAGTCTGTAAAAGAAGTAAATAGGCCCAAATTTTATGACTCCACCAAAAATCTTTTGGCAGTGAATGAGGATTCATGATGGCAGTAATGGGGGACGAATGACCAACAAGAAGTCCGATTTTTTTCTTGTCAATAACTCCAAAACAGTAAGGTTTCTTCATAATTTAATTGTTAATTCAAGTTCAGCATGTACATTTGCATGGAATTATGACGATTTCGGAAAAATTTGTAGGGATATTAATGCTCGGGAAACAAAATAGAAATTTACCTGAGCTCTGTGCTTTTTTTTACTTTTTTTAGTTTTTTGTAAAACAAATTTTTCATTGTTGAAGAAAAGAAAACATAAACGGCAACCATTGTCTTTTGTTTGCTTTATTTAAAACCAGAAACATTTACCTTAACCCAATGTAACCCTGAGTTGACTTTCAATACTACAAAAATGAAAAAATATTTTACGAGAAATTGTTTTAAAAAATACATTCAAGCCAAAAATAATTACATAAAGAAAATAAAAATATATAGAAACTCTGATGTGACAGCTAGTTGATTTGAAAAACCTGTTTTTCCTTAAAAAAAAATGTGGTTTCAGATTTTACAAATTTCAACCGAAAGCAGTACTGGCTGCTCGGTCAATGAATGCCAAATGTTTCCTTATATGGAAATGGATAATATTATCATTACCGTTCTGAACACTTCCCCACCTCCGCATATTTTCTTTTTATTTACCTTCCTTAACTTTACACTGATAACCTCCCTTGGTCGTCACTCTCTTATATAAAATGTAGCCATCTTGTTTGTTCATTAAAGCCTTAGAAAAGGCCTCATGTCTTCCTCTTATCAATTCATTTGAAATTACAAGTGGTTATTGTTGAGCTAGTGGAAATTTGCTGCTCCAAGCTCTGATTTTAAACCCACAGAACTGGCTCTAAGTCAACTGAATCTCTAAAACGATGTAGTGCTACAGGTTATATTGGGCAAGATTACCAGTTTCTTGCAGGAGTTAAATTTTTCTTTCATTTTCACTAATATTTCACACAATAAAAGGCTAAAGAGCTACTCAAGGAAGAGGATTACTGAATGGGATTGTTGTGTGAATGCAAGAAGATAGGTTAAGAAGTGCTGATTAGGAGGATATATAGGAAAGATAACAGTTCGCCCATCTTGAAGTGGTTAAAACTGTAGTAATCATGGAAGCATCCATTCATGAGTCTATTCCACAGAGTAGCTGCTCTTGGGAAGAAGCTGTCCAAATAGAACTTCTTTCTTACTTATGGAATATGAAAAAATGAGGATGATTTGTTCCAACATATGTGATGTGGTATGGCAAGTCTTAGCTGTGGAGGTCTGATCTGATGGAGCTAATCAGAACATTTGCTATGGAAATATCAATAGAGTAGCAGGTTGAAATAAAAGAGGAGGTTATGTGAATAAGAGTGAGGGCGTTGGAATAAGAGGAGGGTATGTGAATAAGAGTGAGGGCTTTGGAATAAGAGGAGGGTATGGGAATAAGGGTGAGGGCGTTGGAATAAGAGGAGGTTATGTGAATAAGAGTGAGGGCGTTGGAATAAGAGGAGGGTATGTGAATAAGAGTGAGGGCGTTGGATTAAGAGGAGGGTATGTGAATAAGAGTGAGGGTGTTGGAATAAGAGGAGGGTATGTGAATAAGGGTGAGGGCTTTGGAATAAAAGGAGGTTATGTGAATAAGGGTGAGGGCGTTGGAATAAGAGGAGGTTATGTGAATAAGGGTGAGGGCGTTGGAATAAGAGGAGGGTATGTGAATAAGAGTGAGGGCATGTGAATAAGAGTGAGGGCTTTGGAATAAGAAGAAGGTATGTGAATAAGAGTGAGGGCTTTGGAATAAGAGGAGGGTATGTGAATAAGGGTGAGGGTGTTGGAATAAGAGAAGGTTATGTGAATAAGAGTGAGGGCGTTGGAATAAGAGGAGGGTATGTGAATAAGAGTGAGGGCATGTGAATAAGAGTGAGGGCTTTGGAATAAGAAGAAGGTATGTGAATAAGAGTGAGGGCTTTGGAATAAGAGGAGGGTATGTGAATAAGGGTGAGGGCGTTGGGATAAGAGGAGGTTATGTGAATAAGGGTGAGGGCGTTGGATTAAGAGGAGGTTATGTGAATAAGGGTGAGGGCGTTGGATTAAGAGGAGGTTATGTGAATAAGAGTGAGGGCGTTGGAATAAGAGGAGGGCATGTGAATAAGAGTGAGGGCATGTGAATAAGAGTGAGGGCATGTGAATAAGAGGAGGGTATGTGAATAAGAGTGAGGGCTTTGGAATAAGAGGAGGGTATGTGAATAAGAGTGAGGGCATGTGAATAAGAAGAAGGTATGTGAATAAGAGTGAGGGCTTTGGAATAAAAGGAGGGTATGTGAATAAGGGTGAGGGCGTTGGAATAAGAGGAGGTTATGTGAATAAGGGTGAGGGCGTTGGAATAAGAGGAGGGTATGTGAATAAGAGAGGGCATGTGAATAAGAGTGAGGGCTTTGGAATAAGAAGAAGGTATGTGAATAAGAGTGAGGGCTTTGGAATAAGAGGAGGGTATGTGAATAAGGGTGAGGGCGTTGGAATAAGAGGAGGTTATGTGAATAAGAGTGAGGGCATGTGAATAAGAGTGAGGGCTTTGGAATAAGAAGAAGGTATGTGAATAAGAGTGAGGGCTTTGGAATAAGAGGAGGTATGTGAATAAGGGTGAGGGTGTTGGAATAAGAGAAGGTTATGTGAATAAGAGTGAGGGCGTTGGAATAAGAGGAGGGTATGTGAATAAGAGTGAGGGCATGTGAATAAGAGTGAGGGCTTTGGAATAAGAAGAAGGTATGTGAATAAGAGTGAGGGCTTTGGAATAAGAGGAGGGTATGTGAATAAGGGTGAGGGCGTTGGGATAAGAGGAGGTTATGTGAATAAGGGTGAGGGCGTTGGATTAAGAGGAGGTTATGTGAATAAGGGTGAGGGCGTTGGATTAAGAGGAGGTTATGTGAATAAGAGTGAGGGCGTTGGAATAAGAGGAGGGCATGTGAATAAGAGTGAGGGCATGTGAATAAGAGTGAGGGCATGTGAATAAGAGGAGGGTATGTGAATAAGAGTGAGGGCTTTGGAATAAGAGGAGGGTATGTGAATAAGAGTGAGGGCATGTGAATAAGAAGAAGGTATGTGAATAAGAGTGAGGGCGTTGGAATAAGAGGAGGGTATGTGAATAAGAGTGAGGGCATGTGAATAAGAGTGAGGGCTTTGGAATAAGAAGAAGGTATGTGAATAAGAGTGAGGGCTTTGGAATAAGAGGAGGGTATGTGAATAAGGGTGAGGGCGTTGGAATAAGAGGAGGTTATGTGAATAAGAGTGAGGGCATGTGAATAAGAGTGATGGCTTTGGAATAAGAAGAAGGTATGTGAATAAGAGTGAGTGCTTTGGAATAAGAGGAGGGTATGTGAATAAGGGTGAGGGCGTTGGAATAAGAGGAGGTTATGTGAATAAGGGTGAGGGCGTTGGAATAAGAGGAGGGTATGTGAATAAGAGTGAGGGCGTTGGAATAAAGAGGAGGGTATGTGAATAAGGGTGAGGGCGTTGGAATAAGAGGAGGGTATGTGAATAAGAGTGAGGGCGTTGAATAAGAGGAGGGTATGTGAATAAGAGTGAGGGCGTTGGAATAAGAGGAGGTTATGTGAATAAGGGTGAGGGCGTTGGAATAAGAGGAGGGTATGTGAATAAGGGTGAGGGCGTTGGAATAAGAGGAGGGTATGTGAATAAGGGTGAGGGCGTTGGAATAAGAGGAGGGTATGTGAATAAGAGTGAGGGCGTTGGAATAAGAGTGAGGGCATGTGAATAAGAGTGAGGATGTTGGAATAAGAGTATTGTGGTGGATTTTTTTTTTTAAATTAACAAATTGTATGACAATTACAGACCCAATAGAACAGAAGCACTGAAATGAGTGGGAGGTAGATGTCCGTTAAAGGGTGGTATTTATTTATATAACAAGTTCAGCCTTCACTGTTAGCCCTGCACATAGCTAAGCTAAGAATACCTGTATGTGCATATGTTTCGATGTCTGTGTTTGTGTGTAAGAAAGAGAGTGAGAAAGACATAGAGAAGGAATCTGTTTATATGAATTCCATATGCCTGACAGTCAAACCAGACATAAAATAGAATCCTAAGAAAACAATGAATATTTAATTTTTCATCTCGCACAATAAAAGAAAAAAAAAGGCTTACAACTGGAACAAGTTTTAAAGTATGCTTTTTTTCCATTGAATGTCTAAAATGCAAGGAGTGGCTTATGGAATCCACTCTTTCACAATTATAAAATATCAGCTTCTTTCTTTCATGGCTCTCCATAACTTTCTGCCTCTTGTTAATCAATTTAACTTTTGTCCCTTTACCATCTGTTTTTGTCCCTATTCTGCCATCTATTTACATAAATTCAGTAGGTTACTCACTGTTTCCCCCGACTTCTCTTACTTTCAACATATCCTGTGAGTGTTCAATTCTCTAGACCCTTTTTCCTCATTATGTATCCCAGAAACTTCTCAGTAGAACCATATCACTGTAACTTCATGTAACATCATCTGTGAGAAAATTGTCTGGCATTCACTGCCATATTGGAGATTATATATTACGTAGCAGTTCTAATATTTGTTTCTAATATTTTCCTGGCTATTAATACCTTTGCTTAGTTTCTAAAAGGGCAGCTTTGCTATTCCTATGTATTTTTGAATTTCAGTGTCAAATTTCCTATTGTCTATTCACTACTCAGATAGTTAAAATTCTGTACTTACTTGATTTGACACATTCAATGTGTAGCCCATAATCTTATAATGTTTCTTTTGATTGACAACCATATCTTCCTTCTTCTTATAGTTAATAGTCCTTTCTTCTGGTTTTCCTTTACTACCTTTAAGTGTTCTTTCAATTTTTCTTCTGAGTTTGCCATTAACATGGTGTCATCCACATATCTTATATTGTCCATTGATAGGACTTCTACTTCTCTTACAATTGTTTTACTATATAGGTTAATTCATCCAGGGAGAAAACACATCTTTATCTTACTTCATTTGTATAATTATTATTCAGCTTTTATATGCTTTATTCCTTCAGGATGTGTGTGGTTATGGCTCTTCACAACTTCCTATTCTTTGTATCTCTAAGCAATACATATCCCCTTACTATCTCTTCCAGTTTCTGTTCTGCCATCCATTTACACAGGCTTGTTAAGTACATTAGTCACTATTTCCCCTCTGCCCCTCTTACAGCTACATCACACTGAAACACTGGTTCCCATATGTTCACCAAAAGTTAAGCAATGTTGATCCTGGTCAGTACCTAGATGGGTGACCACTTGGGAATACCAGGTGCTGTAAGCTTGGATATGCGAGTGGTATAACGGATAATGGCTCAGAATTGTTTATTGGATAACCAAGTTCCACTACATGCAAATACCCATGGGAAAGGTATGAATCCACTTCTTTTCCTCCACCTATGGATTAATTAGTAAGACTTGTACTACTAAACTATTATTATCTCTAGAAAAAATTCTTTCAATCTAAAAATATTTCCTGGCTTTAAATAATCTGTAAACGGGTAATAAGCTGTAAAAAAAAAAAAACAAATCACCCAACCAAAAAGAATCTTGCCATCATTATGTCTTGTGAGTGTCAAATTCTCCAATCCCTTTTTCCTTATTATGCATTTCAGAAATTTCAGCTATCTCTTTCTGATTCTAAGTACAAATGTCCTTTTTGTTCTGATTTTCCTTAAAATGTTTGATCCATGGAATTCTTAGTGTTCTTCTGTAGATCCGTATGTTTGTTGCCTCAAGTCTCCTCTTCACCTGTGAGGAAATTTTCCAAAATTCCCTGCCATATCAGAGGATTGATATTACATAACAGTATAGAATTCTATCTTATCATTACTTAATTGAAATTACTGTCCATATCTGAAAGTATACTTAATGGTAACTTTGTCCCAAGAGCAAATTCAGGAAGCCTTTCATGAAGAATTTGATCCTTATTAATTGATATTTTGCCAGATTACACCACTGATCAATATGTTATAGCAGGCAAGTTATTTTTCATTTGTTTAGTCTTTAAATAAAAGAAAAATAACTATATCCTGGAAACCATAGATCTGTCCCTCAGTATTTTGCCATTGCATTGGAATGGTCAGAAATAGAAGAACATTAGAATGTCTGCAGCTTGTTTGGAATACTTGTTTGCAAAGATGGCCTGATATCATAATTTTGTTGTGTGAATACATTATACAACAATAAATGAACTCAAAAGTTAATTTCCATCCTGCATCATAATAATTTATTTATATCCAAGCTTCAACTTGTACAAATATACACATGAAAGTCATGAGTCGAAACAAAAAAGTACCAAAAATAATGGAATATGGAATAATATTTTTTATTCAATAACTAACAAAGATATTAAATGAAGATAAATATTAATTTAAAATGTTATTATTTCAAAAAAAAATTAAATGTTAATTTTAAAACAATATCATCAATTTTTTACTGTTCAATCTATATACTTATTTTGAGGTCTGATATCATAATGATGAAATATTTCTCATTAAATCTTAATTTCAAACAATTCAGCTGGATGTGGAGGAGAAGCCAAAACATCAACTGAAATATTATCATGACCATTTGGCAGAACAAGATTAAATCAAATGTAATTATTTTTTAATATTTGCATTCCAATGACTACTTGTAAAATCTGTGATACTGATAAAAATCAAAATACCAATAACCTATTTTCTGTTTCTTTTTCTTTTTTCAGAAAATATACCTATAACCGGGCTTTCATTGGAACAACCATATTTTTGAGGTTTATTGTTATCTGCAAAGATTCATCTTGATTCATATTTCCTGGACAGTTTATTTTCCACATTTTATATCTTGAAAAATTTCAAATCTTATTCAGGTTATCTACAAATCCATATATGAAATTCTGATGAGTAGAAATTAAGGCAAAACTTATTCTAACGTGTCTTTACATTTGCAAGTGACTTCAGACTGATTACAATCTAAATTCTTGTTTCAAGATATGTGCCTATGAAAATTAAGACAGAAGAGATAAGGCTTTTCCATTTATTTGATTCCAATATATAAAGTCGTGACAAGGATTAATAGACTGACTTATCAACCAAAGTACATAGTTGAGTGGAATAGCTGATATTTAAGTAAAAGAATAAAAGAATCCTACAACATGGAACAGTGCAAATATTGTGAGAATATGTTCAAACAAGTTGCAAAACACATTGACAAATGCCCATCTAGACTAAAAGAAATTGCAGATATGCAACCATGTCCTCATTGCAATAAAATGTTCAAGCGAGTTGCTACTCATCTTCACTTCTGCCCAGAGAAACCTGAAGAAAAGGGTAAAATAGCCAAAGCAAAAACAACTAAAAATGATTCATCATCAAATAAAAAGGACAACAATGATATAGAAAATTTAAAGATGCAACCATGTCCTCATTGCAATAAAATGTTCAAGCGAGTTGCTACTCATCTTCACTTCTGCCCAGAGAAACCTGAAGAAAAGGGTAAAATAGCCAGAGTGAAAACAACTAAAGATGATTCATTATCAAAAGAAAACGACAACAATAATATAGAAAATTTAAAGACGCAACAATGTCCTCATTGCAAGAAAATGTTCCAGCGAGTTGCTAGCCATATTCATAGCTGCCCAGAGAAACCTGAAGAAAAGGGTAAAATAGCCAGAGAGAAAACAACTAAAAATGATTCATCATCAAATGAAAAGGACAACAATGATTTAGAAACTTTAAATATGAAACCATGCCCCCATTGCAAGAAAATGTTCCAGCGAGTTGCTAGCCATATTCATAGCTGCCCAGAGAAACCAGAAAATGGAGACATGCCTGATGGCAAAGCAATGAGAAATGATTCATCTTCAGAAGAAAAGGACACCAATACAGCTGCAGTGAGCTTTGATGAAACTGACACTATTTGCACACCTGTGAAAGATACATTTCCTGACACACTTTTTGACCAATCAGAATGCAGAAATAACTTTTCTGTCTTTATTTCATCATCGAAGACATCAACAGCAAATCATGAAAATTCTGTTACTGAAAGTGCTTCACATAAACTGATATACCAGCCAATTCATACTAATTATCAGGCATCAGCTGTGCAAAAAAACCCTGCAAGTGAAGACTCTTGGGAAACAAGTTCAGAACTTTCTTCCCATGCCACACCAATGAGTCTTAAGAGGCGCCCACTTCATGGTAACCAGACTTTATATCATCAGGTACAAACTGTTGACCTCTCAAGGAATGATCAACGGTCTCTGACAGATTTGAGTGAAGAGAGCATTTTTAATAAATCATTGGAATCTGATGACAGTTTTTCATATCTTCACCAGGATTTAAAACGACCTCCAATTCACCAAAATTCAGAATCCTATTTAATGAGTGAAACAAATAAAAAACTTCTATTTCCCAACAATGAAGAAGAATTCTTTGAATTTCAGCACCATGTCTCACGAGAATAAGTCATTGACTGTAAAATAACAAAAATAACAAGAAGTCTGTGTGCTTTTTGAAGCAGTACTTATCTAATATATATATCTCACACTTTGATGTCGCAAGAATCAATATTTATATCAAGCTAGTTAAGGTAATTGATTGCTAATGTTTGACAAGACAAAATGAAATGGGAAAAAAATATTTGTATTGTTACCCAAGAAAAAAATGGTATTTTTTCCAAGATTTACTATGGCAGTCCAACTGGAAGCACAGTCATGGAAGATAGTGTAAAGACAGAACTCAAGTGCCAATATTCTTGAAAATT